TAACTGTTATGTTGATATCCCCACCAACTATCCAACGAGGCTTGTAAAGCAACGCTTCTTAACCCGTAGAAATTCATTGTTCATTGTTCAACTTGTACTCTGGCAAGAATGTGTACAAAGCAAGTAGCTGACCCTAGTGAGTGGGTACCGATAGACAGATATGCATGTGCATGTAGGGATGGTCAATGCTGAGTGTGAACGTCTGGCTGGGGATATTAACTCACTCCACATCGTTGGACGAAGTTGAGGAGTACAGGTCATAAGTTATTGTTCCCACGTACGTACCCTAAGATTCTATGCTGGAGCCCAATCTGTTCTTTCCATACGTTAACTGATTTCTTGAGCTTAACCGGAGGACGTGTGTTAGGTTTGTGGACGAACAGGAAAATCGAATTATGATTCGCACCGCAGACAACTGCATCCAGCTTCAGCAAATTAGCAACCGCTTCTTCGTGTGATTTACAATATCCCGTCCCCGTCCAATCCAAGCAAGTCTCTGTTCATGAGACTCGGGAAGGGTGGTGACGGCCAAACTTATACTGACGACCAACCGCTAAATCCCATGTCTCGTAAATGACTTTTGTGTACTCTCGCGCTGTGGTTTGATGTCGGTAGACAACACGAAGGCAGTTAGGCGGCGCATGTTTTAACGCTCAAACGCAGCTTCTGTACTTGATCTGAAGAGTTCGCCATTTGTCTTACATCGTCCATCATAAGACCTATGCTATAGTTCTGCTGGCCCGCCTAAGGTCCAATCAACCGACGCGGAGCAAAGGAAGGTCATAGTGGTCCAAGTAGTAGTCGCCAGACTGATTCCATGTTTACGGAGATTGCCGTGCGAAAACCGCCGCAAAAACTAGGAAGCTACACCTTATCCTATCGCCAGGTTCCAGTCCGTCTTCTTGTCACATGCCGCATATTATTACTCAGTGATTTTTAAAATTTGAGGCCACTGCTCCAATTGAGAACGCCGTGTAGCCATCGGGACACAGGCAAAAATTGTTATGCAAGAATCTGTAGCGATCGTGCCATCCTTTGTGCTTCCAATGGTATGGAATGTCCATCATAACGTGTCGTGGAAACCAAATCCGTGGGCAGTTGAAAACATTGCCGGCATTGCATTTCACTACCATTCTATTCAAAGAATGATTGCACATTGACATTGACAATTTACTTAAGTGAGCTAAATGAAACTGTATGTCCTACAGTTTTAAATGTTACACAAGTGTTGGAAGAAAGATTAGATTTTCATTAATAGCGGGTACCCTTAAAACATTTTGATACATTTCGACTGCGTTGTACATATTAAAATTATTACTCGCCTCCACAATCATAAGAAATATTTAGTATTATTTGCAGTATCATTCTTAATATCTGCTTTACAATTATCTATTCCATATTTCGTATGTGATCAACTGAGCACGATGTGGGAAACTCATTTTGACATTTTAGCCCCTATATTCATAGCAAACGTCAAGGGCGAGAAGAATGATCTGCGCTCTATCTCAGTTGGTTTGAATAAGTCATGTTTAAAATTCACCTTGATAAAAATCCTTGCTTGCTTTTTGCATAGATTTTTTCATATACAGTTGCTTGCTTTTTGTCGATGTAATTCTATGGGGCAACCCTGCAAAACGATTGTGCTTGTAACCACCATTAGCTCACTGGTCAGAAACTCGGTCTAGCAAAACCGTCTGGTGCAGTGAAAAATGTCTTCTAATTGTCTACAAACACTCCACAGGCGTGAAGTTGGTGAACTGAGATACTGGCCGGATAATACTGTCTCTTCCGTGGAATTATGTCTTAGTTAGGCGATCATTCCTGCGACTGATCGGTATGATCAGGTGTTGCAATCTTTTTGTTGTAGTTTTCCAATTTTCCGAATATAGGATCACTTTTCAAGTGGTGCTCAACGTGAATCCTTGGTCGTGCAGACCACCAACATTCTTATCAGGTAAATAGCTAATAGACACGAGTACTTGGGAAATGCTTTCGTCGTCTTTACAATGTGTATTGAGTCATCCTGATCTTCTATTCCTTTGTTTAGCTGAATCCGTCGTAATCAGCCGGATGAAGCCACATTAGGTTGCCCAACTCAACCATTGTTTCTCAGATTTTGGCTGCTTTGAAGATATTGGTTGAAGTTACGTCCTTCAGTCTGCAAAGCATGCTTTTTTGATTGAGGTCACAATAAATTATGCGGTCGCATAATTTATTGATGCTGAACTTATTGTGGAAGCAAACACATATTCTCACACCCATGAGCTTTTTGTCATTAAATACTGTTCAAATAGAGTAAATTTTATCAATAGTTCCCTTATATACATAAACTACTGTCCAAAAGGTTATATCGACAGCATTACGTCACGATGAAATATTTTTCGAAATGAACTTGCATGTCACGTAATACGGAAGCGCGTACTCTGTAGCTACCAAAGTGTGTTGAATGGGTCTGGTACCATACTGATAATACGTCTTCGCAGTTCATTTTTCCACTGAAGATTTAATTGAACAGCGTGAATTCACAAATTAAACATGTTTAACCAGACAGCGGCATTTCAGGAACGACCGATGTGAAGTACTGCTGTTTGACTAGGCGGCGTAAACATGAATAAGCGCATAAGCACGAACAAACAGCATTCTGTTTTCATATGACAAAGCTTTGATAACCCAAAATTAAATAAAACAACCTCTGAACTTTCTTATAAAACGTCTTGTGATTTAGAGTTTAATTTGCCGACTTCATATGCTACTGGAGCGCCACGTAACCAGCTACATATTGCAAACCCTATTCCCTGGTAACCCTAGAGACGTTAGTTTTTATCCTATTAATAAAATCTTCCTTTGAGTTTGACGTAGAAAGGAGAGCACTTTCTAGGAGCCGCATGCAGCTTAATGAGAGGTTTCGATGTCTGGATTTATTCGGAATATTTACCAAACGATGTAGGCTGCGTGCGTGAATATTAACATGATTGCATGAATGTGATTCGTTGCTTTTGAGTACTGTTTTCCGAAAATCTCTTCCCCGGTACAAATGCACCTTGTTGAAAAATAATGTTCGTATATTTCAATTATAGCCTTTACAAACGACTACGCTGGGCACTGATGCTATCATCGTGATTGTGATCAAACGTTTCAAGTTAAGTGCGCACATTTTTGGACAAAAGCAATTAGTTATTTCCCCTAAGCAATGAATGTAGTTAATGGTAGTTCATCAAGATCCCGTAGAACCGAGCTCGTTAAACTATAGCTATCAAGTTTGTGGTAATAATCCCAGCAATTTTATCTTTGAGATAATCCTTGCCTTGTGGGATTTACGTATCTTGAACTAATCGATTTATTGCAGTGGCACTGCGTATAGCAAACATAGTTCCAGTGGAAAACTGACTTACCAATATCTACAAAATATATGAACGCCTCCTTTGTGTCCGAACTAACCGTGATACGAATTAGTCAAAAACTTAGGCAGCACACATACATAGCATCTAGTTTCAGTTATCTTGTTCTTCAGAGATACTATAAAACGGATGTTACTTGATCTGCGAATATTTCCTAATGAAGTGCATCTTTTTCTTTTAGCCAACTATATCGTATCATGTCTGCCAAATAAACGGCATACATTAGCATCATTGACGTGTCTTTTATAGACTTTATTGGGCAGCTAACCTTCTCAGTAGTTTACTGTTTATCAACTGCTTTCATGAAGCCCTGATATTGAGAACACTTTCTTTATTGTCATTATGACAATGCTAATACAATGCTAATGAGAAATGATAACAGTAATGAGCTTGATGCGTTTTCCTAGTGCGCCAAATAGACTGTCTGCCTCTTAATTAGTTTCGTCACATGAATTTTACTTGCTGGCAAACCAACTGTTTGCTTTGGGCAATCGGAGCCTACAGTTACCACCATCAACACATTATACTGAGAATGATAGAAAACATTTTGCAACGCTCCTTTTAGAAGTTAGTGAAAGTACTTGGAACTCTTGTTCATATCGCTGGAAAAATTCATTGTTATGTCTACAAGAAAACCGCATCATTTAATACAACGTTTAGAATCTGACAAGTGAAATCATGGGATTGCATCCTTAAATGTCTGGATTTGGAATAATTTTGAAAAACCACAGCGTACATTGTTATATTTCCATCAACAGATTTGAGCCCCGTTATCTTCGAGTTATCAAAAATTGCTAACTCCGTTTCGAGTACAGTAACTTATCGATCACTAAACATCTCCCTTTTAACTACGGCGATTTTATTTATAACTGATAAAGATACTGTGTCAGGCAGTAGGAATTTTACTGAATATAATGTCCTGATAACTGCCAAGGAAACATTAGGCACATTTCAGTATGCAGAATCCATCTTAACTATCAGATCATACAATAGAAATAAGCAGCTTAAAAAGCTATATTCTTTTCTTGCATGACAACCAACACTATGTGGCTTCTAAATGGCATACTAGACAACATTCTGAGGATAAATCAAACCATCCATTGTCGAAATTAACTGGTATCGATCTTAACGGTCAATATATCTCAGTGTCTGCACTAGCTGAGTAACAAACAAAATTGTCAAGGTTGCCAATTTTGAATACTTCATTTAATTCGGAAGGAGCATTTACCGGAAACACGGAATAACAAGGCGTTAAAACTGGTAGGCACATATAAAGTAAGCCAAAGATTCACTTCATACTTCCTTTTCGCCTCCGCTGTTGTTACCGTTAATGAATCTTCAAAAATTGTGTGGCTATATCAGTCAATACTACCAATCGATAATGTTAGATACTGAAGTTTATTCTCCATTGCCCTATGCTTCAGTGCTATACAAAGTCATCTCTTTATTTACTATAAGTTGGCAAATGGCCAGTGTAATTTCAAGGTTGTCTGGTTTGTTTACAGTCATGTCATCACAGTGGTACGGTTTTGACCCCATATGTTTTACTTCTGCTTATCGATTTAGTATACAATACCCTATGCGAACAGCTGTCGTACTTACCTTTCTCAATTACTCGCATAAATGCTGTTGCATGGCCGAATGAATTTTTAACTTCACATGAGTATACGTCCGCATCGATTGGCTGAAAACCAATTAGCGATAACTGACTTGAACGTGGTACTGGACCCCTTGACTGTATCCATCTGGAGAGGCCAAAAATGGCTGTCCTATTGATGTGTGCGCTTCGATCTATTTTCGATAGGGCCGGCGCAGAGTTTCGTTTTACAGAGCCACGTTGCCAAGACACGCTTGCACGTGGATTCGCTGTCCATCTGCAGTAGAGTGTTATATTATCTCCTTGGGAAACGGTGTTTAACGCCGGCGAATGCTCCACAATCATTGGGGGTTCTGTAGCATAAAATGTTAGAAAGATTTCCAACAGCTCATTTTAGAAAACGTTAGGTCTTTAGCGATGGAACCACATTTAGCTACACCGTTTCCAACAATACAAACTGGTATTGTGGAGATAAGTTCATCATATTGTAAGCCATCTACTTCACACGTTTCTAATTGCAAGTGTCTTCAATTGTACTCAACGATACCATTTTGAATAAAGTGGTTTCAGATTAGTCTTGCCTTTGCCGCCGTTTGACTGCAATTCGAAACAGAGATGGTTGCAAAGTCCCCAAGTGCATAAACACCACCTTACACTCACATGCATTTTAAACCAGGTATTACTAATGCCATTGTTTGACGGTACTTTAAGTTATTAACGCTAAACACTTGTGCGCTCTATTGTGCGTTTGTAGAACCGATAATGAATAAGGTATGGAAGAGGTAAGTTAATGTGGCTGGTTATTTAAGAAAACTTATGTGTAAGTGTTAGATGATATACTGAAATCACTTGTGAAAGTGTCATCTTAGACATGAAGACTACTTTTTGCTCATGTTAGGGGTAAGAGTCCTTTGTAATTTATTCACTACTACAGACTTTAAAGACACGAACTACGTAATTGTGTTTGCAATGAATTTGTGTGCTTCAGATTATCATATTTGAATCGTAAAGAGGAGTAAAAAGTCATCTTTTTCGCATTGGATTTTGAGAAAAAAAGAACTCAACTTCGAGCATAACATTAACAGTTGCATGTGAAAGACCGAGATATATCAACATTAAGAGCAAGGGCTATGAACTGTTAACCCGGCCAAACGAAATTCACATTCATAAAAGTAATGGACAGTAGTTTTCTTCTTTCTACAGTTAAGCCAGCTTGTCGCGTTTCCCATCAGGTTGTTGGAGCGTGGCTCAGTAATAATTCGCAGGAATTCGAAATTTCTTAGTGACACGTTTCGATTTAATCCAAACTGTCAAACCATTCCACGCTGTTACGATGTTTGACTAAAGTTGTTTTACAATTCAGGTCGGCTCGAAAGTCATTTTTGTCCCACATAATTCGAAAGTATTTTGACTTTTAATTTGTCCTCCAACATACTCGGCTTGCTTTCCTACAGTAACAGAGCACCTATACGGTAAAGAAATGCAGTACACTTAGATGCATTAAAATGTTTTCATGTATGCTTTCGCTGCGGGAAACATCCTAAGGATTGGGCATCAATGGCTTACGCTTGCCTGATGCCAAGCGATGTCGCAACACTTCCTGCTTGGCTAAGAGAATCTAATCTGGCACATCACATTACGCATAACACATGAACTGACAGAGATTTTCGTTGCAAAACTCTCCTAGGATGCCAATTTACTCCTCGCAGTATAATTAAAAATAACCAAAGTTAAGTTCGGTTTACATTTTTACACTGTATAAGGTTTTGTTAGGGAATAAAAGACACTGCATATCCGTTTTTGAAGTAATGGTGGCAAAATGCTTTGATAGTGGTTTGGTTTTATTGTAGTTTCCCAATTATATAGAAGGAATGAAGCGCTACAGATGGGCTGCAGCAACGCAGCAACTCAACTAAATTGCCATGGCAGAAGCTTCAAAACTGTGGGACACATATTCCAACTGGAGTATTGTATGCTATTTATCAAGCTCACGCTTAAATTCACTCCATTCCGCTTATACTCTAATGGAATTGTTTCATTGTCTCCCTATAGGAGTTGACGTGGTCGTGTATTATATCCACTTGGATTGTGTCTTTACGATAAGAATCGTATACCTAAAGATTAGTTGGTATTTGGAAGGCTCTTGATTATGTGAAGCATATCTCTAATCGTTGGCCAGGCTAAAAACTTTTTCACAGACCTACAGCTCCTCGTAGAATTTGGCGCCACCTTAATCAAACCATTTCATCAATCTTACGAACCTTGAGTAACATTTAAACTCAGTGAGGTGTACAACCAAATGCAAGTATAAGCAGCATAGGGCCTCCGGATATTATTGACACCAGCTGCAAGCAAGGAGTAAGCGAGGCAAATGTTGTTTCTGCTTATTAGTTCAGGGCAGGTTTAAAAAACTACCATAATGGATTAAGTTTAGTAGTTTTACCTTAATATCCACGCAAAGGTGGTGCAGCTAAATTTTGCATTCCGCCTGCGCAAATATTGCGTGTCACAAAGTATCATTCACACATGAGTAAATATGGCAAGTTTACTTCACGGTTGACCTCGCACAAATGAGGTGGCCATCCAATAGGCCATTGCATGAGTTGTTATGTTTTAAGTGCAGCATACGATTTAAAAGCACTGACTCGTGGTATGCAATGGCTGCATTTCAAGCCACGAGTTCCTTATACATTAAATTCTGGCATGTTACTTGTGGGCGGCTGGAAAATACGGTATTTAGAGCTAATTTTACCAAGCGACAGAAAAATGCAATGGCCCATCTCAGGAAGTGCTGTGTTGTGGATTGGGTATTGTGTGCTGGGGTGACTTTTGAATGTGAATAACACATCTAGGAATTGCCACTCACAACTGGCGCTTCCGAAGTGAAGGAGGTTGGCTGGAAGTCTAATACATATACCTCACGGCAAAATTTCGCTGCGAGCTCGAAATCTTGATGGCAATATGATGGTGTTTAAGGTCAGGATTATTAACAGCACTCTACATGCACCGCTATTGTCTGCCGTACAATCCAGAGGTCTTCAGTGTAAATTCAGTTATGAGGTGATGCAATCCAACACCGCCGATTTTCAATCTCAAAGAAAACTTTCATCTGCCAGGTGGCCATATTTATGTACCATAATCCTCATGGAAACGCATGTAAGCGCGCTGTGCTTACGAAAAGTAAGAAGGTCTAAACTGACGGAGACACATGTCAAATGTTCTTCCAAGTCGGATTACTTTCTACTAAAACACTTCCCTCTTGGAAACTACTTCGATGGGAAATTTCTGCGCTGAAATATCTGTTGTCGTATTCTACTGGTGTATGTACAACATTTGTCGGCAATGGATTTGGATTGACTATACAAATTTACATTGCAACTAAAAACATTCCTTGTTGTTGATTTCTCTGTGCTCAGCAGATCTCGCTGGAGTAATTCGTAATCCTTTTTACCAGTTAACAAGAGAAACTTAACATCATGGGTAAATGCAAGGTATTCGTTGCCCGCAAGCGAAAAATATTTTATAAACACGACGTGTTAGCACAAACAACTTAAGTATATTGCAAAATACCTGAAAGTGATTGGGCAGAAAGCACAGCTTTGTCTTCAAAGAATACATTTGAGTAATTTAGTAACCGAGGCATCCTTGAACAGGATATTCGATTCTGCTACCATGTAATTTATAAACGATTGTTTTATGATCGGTCAGAGACTACAGAAAAGTTCAGATAAATTCATTAGCCTCGGTTCCTACATAAGTTGCTTGGATTCGGTTCATTCATGCATCCATCAGGAGACGTCGTGCAAATCCGGTCGAACTATTGGTGGCACAGAAGCTGTGCTTTTCAGCATCTTTAAACTTAGTAATAGGAGGATAACTTGTCGTCAGTTTGTGGTCATGCACGTTTACTGCCTTTTAAAATGTGGATAGATTACTTTGCCATGCTAAGAAAAATAAGAAAAAATAAGAAAGTAAAATAAATGGTAAATTCCTAGGCCATGCAAGTTGCAGTCCAACTATATGGTCTGATCACTGCATTTAGTAATATGTGTGCCATTGAACCGATTACCGCTAATGTTGGGAATACATCATGCCTACCGGCCCTAGCGTCTTCAGCAAATGATACGGTCTTTTGGAGAGCTGGCGTGGCACTAAGACAGCAGATATGTCAAAGAAAACGCTAAATTAAAAATGGCGACTAATACACAGAATCCGCGGAAAATACGTCACAAGCTGGCTACATGTGAGAATGTCATGATGCACCACATCCTCGGAGTCTTGTTCTTCTCTGTTATTTAGATATATCGGGCAAGTCAAATGCGAAATTGGGCTTACCTTACCTGGATAGTACATTCCGTCTAATAAAAGTTGGTGGCTTAATACTTTCCCCAAACATTGTAGCGCACTAGCATATTTGGTAAGGAATCTGCTGCATGTTTAGAAATCAAATGATCTGTAGTAATATTTTACAGTGGGTCGCATATTTACATGCTATTTGGACTCTGAATCTGAAAAGGGAGGATCCTCTCGCGAAGCTGAGTATTTGATTTCCGACAATTTGTGGTCAGCCGTTTAGATCTTCCATCCAATTATATTTGGTATCGAAAGAACTATAACGGAAACATTCAAAGCATGTAACCCGACAAGTTTATGTTGGTAAACGCATGGTTAGTATATGACACAGACATTGATTGTAACTCACTTAGCAACAAAGCATGCTTTTGTTTGCCACTGACTCTAATGGACTCCGTAGGAGTATTTGGTCTACTATGATTTCCTCGGTAGCAGATAAAGTGTGCATGCAGGCATTGTGTTTCCGCCCATCTAGGTATTGGAATGAATGACTAGTATACATATAGCACTTTTTAAATAAACTACGGATCGGTCCTGAAGAGTTCGCCGTTGAAATCTTTAGCTGCAAACTCTTTTCTTCAAATTTATCTGAGATATGGATATGAATCTAGTCAAGGCGAAAAGAGGTTCTCAAACTCATCGTCGTATCGTTATACTTGCATAAGACGGAAATTTTGAGCGTTAATCGCTCAACAAAAGGTATATGTTTTTTTGGAGGCGCAGCCTCAGTTGGTCATTGGCCAACGTATTCTCTCCACTTCTTGGCACAGAATGAAAGTCATGCTTTCACACGGAATTCGCTTTTTAACAGCAGTTGCTTAGAATGCTGAATGTCTCTACAACACATGCTCAGTATCAGTAAACTTTGAGCACAGGCAAATAACAATATTACAGATAAGGTCTGAAGTGGTTGTCATCTGATATCTATGGATCTAATTAAAGATGATACTAAGGGGCTGGGATTACGTTACATGGTGAAGTGGTTTGCACATTTCAGCAA